TGCAATATGAGCACCCCAGGTCAAGTCCTCCTTTATAATAACACCCAGAAACTTAAAACTGAAAAATTTATTCTCTTCCAAAGCCACAGAAGGAACGGACACGTCATCTGGATGACCAGCTTTTTCAGTCCAGGTTTTAAGCATCTGGGGACCTCTAGGAATAAGGTTCAATGAAGACTAGTGGGGGAATTAGGGCATTTAATTTCACTGCTTTTGCAACAAAACCATGCAGCCCAAAATCACCATTTTACTGCTGCCCTCTGGAAGCACAGAACAGACGGCTTCAGGGACTGTGGTCCTTTGAGAAGAGATGCTGAATCACAAGAATGGAGACACAATGAAGGACAGCGTGCCAGCTCTGCACGCATGAGAGCTTATGGAGTTTCTTTAAAGCACTGCACACGCATATAAGTGCAAGGTGGGCACGTCAAATTTTGTGCAATGGTCGTAATCCATTTACCTGAAGGGAAAGAAATGCTAATGGGGTGCTTAGTGTAGCAAGTTTCCTTTTGCTGTCCTCAACTCAGAATAAGATAGGCAGTCATTCAGATGTCTTGTATTCTTCTGAAGCAGAAGTCTGCTCTGGATTCCAAGATGCCAGTGGATGACAACGGTTAAAATACTGGACTTGCAACTCAGTCTTGACTATTGGTGACAACACAGACAAGGCCATAAAGCTTTCTTGGAAACAATTTCAGAAGTAGTTTGCCATTGCCTTCTTCCTAGGGCTGAGACAGAGAGAGAGAGTGACTTGCCCAAAGTTACCCAAAACTGGTAAGCCCAGGTTCGGGTTCACTTTTAAGTTTAGAAAGTCTCTGGATTATTAAAGCCAATCATTCTCTCCCTCAATCCAACCTAGGTTGTTGTTGTGGGGGCAAAATGAAGCGAGGCCTCCCCACCTTGATCACATGAAGAAAAGGAAGGATATAGGTCTAAGAACTCATCGTCACGGGACTTAAGGGTTGTATATTCCAATCATCAGTGTACACATAAATAATCATTTCCAATGCTGTCGATCAGTGTTTCTCAACCTTGGTAACTTTACAATGTGCGGACTTCAACTCCCAGAATTCTTGGACTTGAAGTCAACACATCTTAAAGCTGCCAAGGTTGAGAAACACTGCTGTAGATTGTCTTAAAAATCTTTGTACCATATATTTTCAATAGGCAAAACCTGACCTTAAAGTATGTCTTTCACTCAAAAAGAGAAACAGGGTGTTTTCCCCAAAAAACGTTCTCCCAAACACCAATTGGTCATTGATCCCCCCCTCGGTTTTCAGAGCAGCCAGTTCTGTTTTGTTGTTGCATTTTAAAATTTATATACTTGGTTCAGTTGTTTCATCCATGGAAATCTGTTAGCAGATATGGATTTCAGATCTTTTGATGAAAAGCTGGCAACTGTGTAGTATAAACAGAAACTCTTTTAGATCTGAATTTATATCAGTTGAGTTTCTACTGCTGAAGACATTTATTCCTTTCCACAAACAGGAGACAAAGCCTTTGCAATAATTCTTCAACCTTATTTGTTCCACCAGGAATGCAGAAAAGGAGTGTCTGTTTGCTGGTGGGTGGTATCACTTGCAGAAACATTTCACATCTGTTCCACTGCTTGCAAGACAGCGGCCTTGGATTTATAGACTTAATGCTCTTTTACGAAAATGTCAGAGCAATTTGTATTAAGAATCCTCATGTTGGATTCGCTGGACAACTATGTCAAGGGCTGCACAGTGATCCGATTCAGAAGGGAAACTGTTATTTGGAGCACACAAGAGGGCTCAGATTGTGCTTGCTGGTACCTCCTTAAATCAAATTTGTCTTTTCTTGGGACAGAACTGCATGACTTCAGGAACCGAAGTAGCTCCTGTAAAGACTCGCTGATAAGCACCATGTGAATATCCTTGTGAGCTCCCAGTCTCCCTTTCCCCTTCAAATCTTCATTGTTGCCCCTACCTATGTCTCTCTTGCAGTTTCTTTATGCAAGTCATTTTATTTGTATCACCATACTGCATAGCAAAACCAATCAGACTACCACATTCTTTGCACCTTAAGGACAAAGCTCAGATACTCAGATCTGCAATTTGCCAGAAGGAGTCTGGTAGCGTCTTTTCAGACTAATACATTTGATTAAAAGGCATCAGCTTTTGCGAGCTGCAGTCAATTCATCAGATGCATAGTCTCTCCTATCAGACTAATACAGCTCTCTTTCTCATATAATATCTTCAATCTGAGTAGACCAAAGGAAATCAACATAAATCCCTGTACACTGAAAAGATCTAAAACTACCCGCAGCCAATCAATTGCCTAATGCATAATCAAGAATGAAAATTACCTGAATCCCAGGAATATCTGGATCCTTCTCAATTGACCATCTGTCCTCATGAAATGATGGTGTTTCTTTTGGACCACTGATCACTTCCATCTCATGGATTGCATAAATACCTTCCGGCAAACTTATTGCCAAGATTTTCCTTGGGTTTTCCTGAATGTCTATGCTCTCCGGCATTCTCTCCAATGACTGGATGAAGCCTGCCTCTCTTGGCAACATAGTGTGCAGTTCCCCTGGGTGATCAGTTAAACAAGACCCCTGGATATCATCTTCCTCTATTTTCAAATGCACTGTCTTCAGCAAAATGAGGTTCTTCTCTCCTTCTGAAGATGATGGGGGCTGATGATCAACTTCTTCCAGCACTTTCCTGAACAAGATGGAATGGACATCTTGGACCACTTCTGGATAGCTACAGCTTCCCACTTGCTCAAAGGATATGTTATCCAAATTGACTTTGTTCTGGATACTTCCTTCAATTTTGATTTTAGTGAAATGGTCATCAGGTTCTGTGTCCTCCTGGCTGTCCATTGTGGTGTCGAACGCGTTGAAAAATGAAAACTGGAACAACAACAAAGCAAAGTTTTAAGGGGAGGTAATATTTTCCTAGAGATACAGTACCATCCTTCCTGCCCCACTTAACTTAGTTAAGGATAAAAATTAGAAATAAATGGGAAACTGGTGGGGTACAAAACAAGCTTCAGCCTCTAACTTACTCCATATTTGCAAGAATGGCTTTGGATCCCATATACATCCAAAAGGAAGTCGCAGAAAATAAAAGTAAGCGGCTGTAACTCAATGCTTTATTCACACATCTATCCTGAGAAGAAGGGCAAAAGCAAGCTAAAATAGTCAGGAACACTGTAACAGGTTAGAGCAGGGTTTCTAAACCTTACCAACTTTAAGATGTGTGGACTTCAACTCCCAGCAAGCTGGCTGGGGAATTTCTGGGAGTTGAAGTCCACACATCTTAAAGTTGCTGAGGTTGAGAAACTCTGGGTTAGAGACCAGGGGAACAGCTATCAGCTAACCTTCAGGTAAATTTGCTGTTGGCCACACTCATTATCATAGGCATGTTATGAACCAGCAAGCCATCCCTATGACTGCCATTACGTATCTACCAGATCTGATCTGCAAATCTCCAGACAACCATAGTTCTGCCCCCCACATCTGGTAAACCTAGTTTGGAGGGACTAGTAAAAGAGGTTCCTCCCACTTTTCAGCTCTTCCTAGACCAGTTCTTTGCTCAGACCCACTGGTTCCCAAGGAATTTTGATAAACCCATCATCTAGGTCAGTGTTTCTCAACCTTGGCCATGTTAAGATGCATGAACTTCAACTCCCAGAATTCCCCAGCCAGTCCACAAATCTTAAAATGGCCAAGGTTGAGAAACACCGATCTAGGTTTTAACCCTGGGTCCTGAACAATTTGTTGTTTTTTAAAAATCCTTTTGAGCTTTCAAAAGTAAATGATAAATGATAAATGATTCCTGCTTTTTGTCCTGCTTCACTTTCTATTTTAACCTCGGAGGCAAAGACTTTAAAAAGTTTAACTCATGTACAGTATTAAAAATCTTCCACATCTACAGAAGTGGGGATTGGAGAAAGTAAGAAGATAATCATCCATTATTTTTCCTTTTCCTACAAAAACTCGAAAGCGTAACATCATTTGTACTTATTTGTGTACAAGGGTCATACATCAAGGGTAAATATTAAGATTTTGGTCATTTTCTAAGAGGCTCGATTCCCAATTTTTTCTGTCTAGCACTGCTTATGCTTTAATTCTGTTTCATATTTTACAAATGTCAAATTAGATTCTCAATATTATTGATCTCACATGCCGGCAACACATATCCATTTTTTAAACTCTATATTATTCCTAAAGTGATACAAATACTTGTGATCCTTTCTCCTTCTAATCCTCAACCTCTTATTTCTTTTTTCAATCATGCTCTTTTAATTGCTTTGGCTGCCTATGGCAAACTAAAAAAAAAATCTCCAAAAGGTGAAGAGAGCAAAGATTCTGTGCATGTAATTTTTATATATATATGTATATAAATAATTTTAAGTTTTTACTATGCCACAAATGATATAACCTGCCAGAGTATTTATGTACATATTTTATAGCACCACAAACTCTCGTTTCATTAGATTATCCTAACGCCTCTTCCAATCTGATTTCTTAAAAGAGAGCTTCCTTTCCTAAGACCACCACCATTTTTCAGTTTCTCAAATACTTTACTTTTGTAAAATACTTTTACGTACTTTCTCTATTTTATTTATACCCGGTTTCCAAGTTATTTTGAATTCTCCATATTCCAAATCCCGTCACTCATTTTTCTGTTAATGCCCGAACACTTTTATTTAGAAGCAGGGCTTCCCATCTTGCAGCATATTTTTTCTTAAAAAAAGTTTCTGCAGTACCCCATGTTATAATTGCACGCGCGTGGGTGTATTTCACTCCCCTTACATTTCTACATCCTGCTTTCCGATTAATTCCTGATCCGTGCAAAAAAACGTTCACCCTATGAATCCATGCTGAAGCAATACGGAGCTTTAAAAAATGCCTTCAAGGTTGCTTAACATTCATTTCTGATGAAATCGGCCGGGCTTTCGGAATAAGTGGCACGCACATTGATACACCCGTGGGAAATTCCTATTTAACTCGGTGCCTGAATTACCACGCAGGGAGTTCGGAGGTTCTGCGCACTGAATCCCGGACGCACGCACTCTTCCTAGGCATACTGACTCGGAAGAAAAACCCCTCGCGTGGCGCCTCTTAATCCCCATGCATGCGTGCTTTGCAAAAATACTGAGATCTACTTCCAAGTAAGCAGGCACAGGAAAACTCACCACCTTAAATCTGCTGTCCGGGGACCCCTTCTGCCTGAATCCTTATTTCCCGTTTTTCCCTAAAATTTCCAGATTTCCCTCTCTCCCTCCAAGGCCACAAATAAGCTTCACATACCCCTGGCCCACTCCCCCCATTCTTGCTCTGATCACCTCCCACCCCCAGTCTGGAGACCCTCTTTGGATGCCTGCAGGCCCCCGCTCCGTCCTCACCCACGAGAGAGACCCTGAATTTCTCGCCTTCTTCCAGCAGGGCGAGTTGTCTCTCCCTGCAGGCGCCGGACCGTCTTCCCGTCCTCCGCACGTTGCAAACGTTGCAACGAGAACCCGGCCGTCGGGACGCGCTCCTGTCTGGGGCGCGCTTCTTGAAGAGCAGGCCCGTCCAATCCCGGGGGGTGGGAGGGGGGCTTTACTTTTCTCAAAGTAAAATAATAGCTCCGACGCTGCTGAAAGATTCATCAACGTCGCTTTGAACTTGAAGGAGCTCGCTGTCGTGTAAATGGCTTCAATCCTGTGCATGCCTGCCTGAAAGTTTCATTCAACTCTGCGGGGTAAACCTTCACAGACTGGAACTGTAAATGTGCTGCTTACCCGCGAGTAAGCCGTTGGCATCGTCCAGCTAAAATCCTAAACAAACATCAATCATGGGTTCATTCTGAATTTTATTAGGAAGCACTCTCTCAACTAGTGGGATAATTTCCAGAAAAAGCCCACAGCCTAGTCCATTTTGAGCCTAAAGGGGAGGTCAAGGGTCTTGATACAAAGGGTGGTGAGGACCTCCAAGCTGTGTCTTTATTCATCACTGGAACTTCATTCAAAGGTGCACAAAATTGTCTCTTGCAGCAGCGGGCTTAATTGGAAAAGGTATTAACAGATTCAGGGATTGTTTCTCCTCTGCCAAGAAGGCTCAGAGCGGACCAGGGTCAGTTTGGGTCACTCTGCTGACTTTCAGGACAAGTCAGTGGACAGGCAAGGGACCACATGCGCCTGGACCTTGTGACAGTGCTCTGGACCTGGAGGCCTCAAAAGATAGATTGAAAAATGGCACATCTTCACCGTCATGAGCTAGCGGGTGTTACCTTGGTTATTGCCAGATCTTTTTATAATATCCTTTGTGCTTCTTAAAGACGGTCACTTAAACCTTGCCCCCGATGGTGACAACAGGAAGATAGGATAATATTCCCAACCAGGAACATCCTAGGGTGTGCTCAGGGACAGAAGTCAAGGCTGCGTGTGGCACACCCTGGATTGTGTGAGAACTTGACCTGGTTTCTGTGAGAGACTAAGGAAAATAAATCAGTCGCTAAGACTTTGCCTCTTGAATCGGGGATTCTGGGAATGGTTTTTTTTAACTTACAGGTTCTGCAGCCTGAAACAGTTTGAACACCTCTGGCTCTGGAGCACATCTGGCATCTCAGTCTTACATAGCCACTTGTCAGAAACTCGTCCTTCAGGCAACGATTATAGCTCGTTTACTATGCGGCCAATTCACTGAAATATCTGGGAATATTGCAAAAGTCTTAGCTGGAGGAATGGCTGTTGGGCAAGTCCTACAAAACAGAGCAGTTTTCACCATTATTAAGCAATCTAATATCTTGTACTGTTCCCCCTCTGGATGGCATCCAGTAGCATCTGCTTGCCAGTGCAATGGATTTCTTCTCTGCCAGCATTGCCCTTTGTTCCCCACTTCCCCTGTTCTGGCTTGGAAGACCCAAGGGACCTTCTGGAGAACATTTGGGCCATGGGTGTAGAACAGGATTTCTCAACCTTGGCAACTTTCGAGATCCATGGACTTCAACTCCCAGAATTCCCCAGCCAGCCATGCTTCCCCAGCTTAGCATTAAAGGGGCTAAGGTTGAGAAGCACTGGTGTGAGAAGGCTGCTGGGAGAAGGAGGGCCAGCTGCAACAGGAGCAGAAGGCTGATCACCACAGGTTGCATGTTGCTTCATGTGTGCTGGGACTGCTAATCCTAGTGTGTGAGGTACTTTGTGGGGAAGCACCAGGTTGGGGAAGTCTGATTTGTGGGACTGTTAGTAGCTCTCTAGCTTTCAAAAGGGACCTTTACAGTAGGTGTTGCATGCTCAGTATATTTGGAGAGTGCTGCAGGGGGGCTGGGGGGAGTTTGATGCATTTTTCTTTCCGTAATGAATGCAGTGGGACAAATGTGATTCTGAACTGCTATTCAAATTTTGTTAGGGCCCCTTAACCCAGCATTACTGTTTCCAAGCAAGCCTGGGATGTGGTCCAGACTCTCAGCTGCAAGTCGACTCATCTTAAAGAATATGTCCTGGTACAGACCTGCTCCATTGCCTTAACTATATTCTATTAGAGCAATGTTTTTTAAACTTGGCAACTTTAAGCTGTGTGGACTTCATCTCCCAGAATTCCCCAGCCAGCTATTCTGGGGATTGTAGTCCACACAGCTTAAAGTTGCCAAGTTTGAAAAACACTGTATTAGGGTATCGCTGTACCCACTGAACAGTTATGGTTAACTCCATTCTCATTCTGTTTTATTTCTGCAGCATTCTTAGCTTCTGAGCTTATCTGTTATTTGTGAAAGCATGTACAGTAGTTATTTTCCACTAGTCCATGTTCTGGAGATAGCAATTACAAGTCTGCCACCATTTTTTAAAACCTTTGC